CATCCATCCATCCATCCATCCATCCATCCATCCATCCATCCATCCATATTTAGGGTCTGGCTTGACATAAGTACTTATTATAGCGGTGCACAACCATGTCTAGCCCAGGAGCTTGCCTTAGAACCACGGTATGGTGGCCCACACCTTTAATTCCAGGACTTGGGGAAGATGGGCCGGGAAAAATTGGGAGTTCTAGGCCAGCCTGGGTTACATAGCAAGTTCTAAGCCAAGCTGGTTTTAGGAGTGGGTAAGGAGACACTCACTGTACAAGGCTTCAGATCACTGCTGTGTGGACGAGAAATTGCCTAGCATGTGAGGCTATGAGTTCCACCACTAGCACTACAAAACAGAACAGTTGGATGAGCAGCGTGGCCTTCTAGTCCCTGCATAGTTCATAAGGGCCTTGGCACTGCTTCCGTAACACCTAAGACCACACACAGTGAGATTTTTATTAAAGCCCAGAGGATCTCAGTTAAAAGGCTAGCCAGCCTTGGTAGAGATGACGATAGGTGCTGGGGAGTGTCTCCTGGTATAGGTCAGGTCAGAGGGCTGTGGCTGCAATACAGCTGGTACAGGGTCCTGCTCAGAGCAGGTCCCAGATTTCTGCAAGAAAAGTCAGGAGAAGGTCAGCTTGGTGCCTGAGGCAACCCAGTCTTCTCTCCAGATTGTAATTTCCTGTACCTCTGTAGACGCCCACACTTGATAGTGCTCAACAGCATCTCCTGCTCCTTCGTGGTGGCACAGGCATCATAGGCAGCCAGGAGACTGGGGGTGAGGCATAGAAAGGCTGACTATCTGGGCAAGCATTGTGAGTCATGAGAGCTAAGGCTGGAGGGGTTTAGCCTCAAGTGGAAGAATCTTAAACACTATAAATGTCCTATTTCTGGCCTTAGAGCCCCTGCTCCATCCTGCCTGCCCTCCCTTCCTGGGGAACACTGGGACAAAGCCTGCCAAGGTTCCCACACAGAGCCAAGCTCACTCTCCAGGAACACTGGTTGTGTTGAACTCCACACAGGAAAGGCAGAGGAACCCTCAGCGGCTCTCTGGGGAGTACCTGGCAGGGGTGCTGTATCGATCCACCAGGGCTGCTGCCTTTTCCCCGCTCAGTCCACGCACCTGCATCAGCTGCCGGGCAAATACTTCTCGCACAGACTGGGCCTGGGGTTGGGGTAGGGCTGTGTTAGGGGTGACCTGGGCCTAGGCCACCTGAGCAGAGGCAAGACAGGGGTGGTACCTTGTTCTTGACAGCTTCTGCATTGAAGTCACTGAAGGTGAGGAGTGAGCAGAGAGGATTTGTAGAAGGCTTTGCTTCTGATTCAGCTTCCCCTGGGGTTCCCCAAGGGCGGCTGCGTAGTGTGAGGCCCTGATGGAAAGGGGACTGAGGCCAGGCTCCATAGACTAACCCCCAGCTAGTCCTTCCCAGGCCCCAGTGGGAAGCTGAAGTACTGGAATCCCATCTTTCCTTGCTTGGCCAATAAACACCAGACAAGGGTCCAGTACTAGATAGAGGCATCTGCTCACCTGGTACATTCTTTCCAGGCCCTTTGTCAAAAGTGCCAGGTAGCCAGCTGACTCCTTAATATCCATGGTACGCTTCACGAAAAAGCCATCAATGACCTGGAAGAGAGGACACAAGGAAGGTAGCTCCTGGCCTGAGCCATGGGCTATAAAATCTGCCAGCCTGGTCCTGCCCTCCCAACTCACCTGGGTGTTTGTGACAGCCTGCAGCAATGTACTCTCAGGAAGGCTAAGGTTGTGAACAGACCCATGTTCCTCCACCAAGTACACCCGGTGACCCAGGCCACAGCGCTTCAGGCGGAACTAGGAAGGCAAGCAGAAGCAGTGTGGCTCAGGCCCAAATGCCCACATGTCCGGGCCAGCCATCAGTTAATAACACATTAACTTTGCAAGAGACCCTGATCCTCCAGTCTCACCTTTACTGGCTCCTCTCATATCTAAAGAGCAACACCACACTAGGCTCTTGCTATGACTCCTGTAAGAAAGCCCTGAACCTCTGGGCATTATACTTCCTCCAAACCTCCCTCGACCTACTGGGCTCTGAGCCACTAAGGTCAGCCCTGCTGCTGAAAATTGGGTATAGACTTGACATTTCCAATCCTAGAGGTTTGCCTCTTGTTTATCTGAATTCTCTAGGGCTAGGTACTCAAGAGCTCTCTAAGTTTCTTCAGCCCTCAGAGATACCCATGTTTTTCAACTGTGCACCTGGATGGCTTAAAAGGGGCTCAAAGTGGGTGTGGCTGGAGGCTCTGCTTTGAGGCCACCCAGGAGCTTTTCTAGGTTGAGTTAAGCAAGGAGTGAGGCAGGCTGACTAAGGCACCTTCTGCTCGCGAAAGCGGCCATCCGTGATACTGCTGCACAGGTCATCTAGCCGCTTGCGCTCCACAATGTGGTCCAGGACTAACTCCCCAGGTGTTTCTGCCAAAAAAACCAAGAAGAGGTTTGCTGTCTTCCCTGTATCTACCCAGGCCAGCCTCCTGTGCCTGTCCATGGCCCTTTACCTGGGTCTCTGGGCCTGGTCTCCTGTGCCACCCACACGAAGTCCCCAACGTGCAGCTTGCGTACTGTGTGGGGCACATGCAGTCTTTGTAACTCTCGGAGCATTTCTGGCCTGTGTCCTGCCCTGATATTTCAAGAAAGAAGGCCAGAGTCAGGCAAGCCAGCACCGACTATTCCAGCATCCTCAAGTTGTTTGCAAGAGTTTCCCTACTTCCTTACCCTCTGGTCTCACCAATGTCCACGCACAACAGCACTCTGTACTCCCCAGGCCTTAGCTCCAGTGGCCTCTGCTGGACACCCCCCTCAGTAGGGCCACTATAATGGAAAGGAGGCTGTGCATGAGACCAGAACCCCCCAGGCCAGGGCAGTTTCTACAACTCACAGAGAGGCCACTGGCTCAGTTAGAAGTCTCTGAGATAAAGGTATGGCTGTCCCCATTTCTCTTTCTTTCTTACGGTTCTGACAAGGTGCCTTCAGGAACTGCTGACTCCTCTCCATGATCCTCCTTTGGCCTAAAGCCAGTGTTCAGAGTGCTCAGGCCTTCTGCCTCGGCCAGCTTCTGGGCCAGCCCCAGGCCCTCCGGTGTCAGTGCATACCTGGGAGGTGAGGGACACATGAAGTTTTATCTTCTTTATCCCTGGTGTGCTCTCCTTCCCTCAGCTAGGTGAGCCTTACCCTCCTTGGCCTAAGTTCAGTGGCTCCTCATCACCTGTCTCCTTGTCCCTCAGGTCAGCTTCCTCAGGACCTCCCTAATGGTGCCTCAGCTTTGCAGTGTGTGTCTCCCAACTCCTTCCCCTGTCTTCACTCAGCACCATGCTGTCCTCCCTCCCCTCAGAGGTTCATACTTTCCAGGTCCTGCAATATCAGGCCTTTTAGCAGGTAGGCTGGCCTTCCCCAGCCTCAGCAGCACCAGATCTGAGATCTGCTGGGTCATTAGAAAGGCTAAGAATGTCCTAACTCCTGCATGTGTCCCATCCCTGCCTCAAGTGCTCTCTGCTGCTTGCCCAACCTGGCTGGCCGATGTGTTCTGAGGACTAGGTTCCTGTGAAGGAGGCCTCGGAGGGCAGGCCAGGGTCTCGAACTCCCAGGTACTACCTGTGAAAGGGAAGGAGACCCTCAGAGAGGCCCTAACACTCCCAAGCCTACACTTCCTGTGCCCCTATCCGATACATGCCACATTTGGATCAGGTTGCATACCAAGGGTGCCTGCCACGAAGGGAGAACTGCAGTAGGTTCTACCTGCCCACTCTCAGCTGGATGCTCACCCGGGGGGTCTTCTGGGCACACTTCTGCAGCAGCTCGTCTTTGGTTAGGAAGCTGTGGCCATCAGAATTCTGAAACAATGGTAGAAATGAGGGTAGCTTCAAGTCCAGGGCTCCTCACCCTGATTTGCTGTGGCCAGCCAGTATGCACAGTATCCAGGCACTTCTGTGAGCAACTTGCTTACCAGGTGCTCCCTGTAGAGTTGCAGCAGGATCTCTCGAGCACCTGAGTTCTGAGCTGGCCAATAGCCAGCACTGGTGCTTCCTGCTTGAGGCTGGGTAGGAACCTGAGAGAGACAGAGGGCCTCTGAATTCAAATGCCTGTCAGTGTCAGCTGAGGTTTCAGCAGGCCCCATAGGCTTGGGAAAGGAGATGAAGCTACAAACCCTTGTAAATCTGGAATGTGATGGTGGCCAGAACAGCAGCAAAAGTTGGGGGTATGTTCCAGGCCCAGCCCCAGCCACGACTACAGGAGAACAGTAACATGGTACAAGTCCCACAACTTTCTGGGCTGGACCGTTTAGCAGCTCCCTTCGGGGCTCTGTCTACAGCGGTCTCAATAATCCTACTTAGGAATTAACATGGTGCCTCTCAAAGAGGGTAAGAGACTGTCCCAAGTCAATCTCAATCAATAAGAGCTGGAGACAGGAGTGTTCAACTCCTCAAACCAAGACTACTCTCACCCCAACCCCAATTAGCTTTCTACTTCCTTTCCCAGTCAATCCTCACTGGCATGGAAGAGTCCTGGACTTGAACAGGTGGCCCTTTGCTGTCTCTGTTCTTTACAGTTGGTGAGTTCGGGGCATGGTCACCTGCAGAGAGCAGAAGAAAGTCAGTCCTGCATATGGCTGCCAAGAGGAGCCTAGATGTAGTCTGCTCAGTTTGTGAATTTGAGTGTCATATTTTAAAACTTTTTTGTGTGTTTTATTGAATATATAGGAGTGTTTCACCTGTGTGTATGTCTGCACATCACTAGCATGCAGTACTAGAAGAGGCCAGAAGTAGGGGCTAGATTCCCCAGAACTGGGTTTTTGGTATGGAGACAGGGTCTTACTGAGTGAAGCCCTGGCTGGCTTAGAATTCACAAAGATTCTCCTGCTTCTGCTTCCTCTGAGTATTGGGATTAAAAGCACGAATCACCCATGTCATTGTTTGGAAATAGTCTCAGGCAGCCAAGGCTAGCCTCGAACTCACTATAAAATTGAGAATGCTCTTCAACTCCTGACTTTTCTACCCCCACCTCCTAAATGGCCGGGTCCCAGACTTGTTTCATAGAGCCACCCATCCTGTCTCAGTTGGCTAGCGTTGTTCGTGAGAACTAGGAGGCTTACAGACCATCAATCACTAGCCCTGGGTTGAACAGCAACCACATTGTGAGGGGGGAATTTGAAGCCAAAGTAGACACAGACTGCACCTAAGAAATTTAGGAGATCACCAACTCCCCCGAGGTGCTCACCGCCCGATGCTAGGTGCTGCTTCAGCTTTTCGTCCAGCATGCGGCAGAGCCTGTCTCCGAAGTGCTGAAGTATCTTGGCTTCCTTCCCGCTGCGCAATGGTAGCGGGTACCGTTGGAGGGAGCGCAGTGCCTGGCGAGCACAAGGGAGAAGGGGACTTATCAAACTGGAGTCATGAATCACCTGGCTCTTCTAGAGCTTGTCACTAGAAAAAAGCTGGGACTCACCTTCTGAAACACAAAGCGCGTGTGGCGCCCTCTGCTGGCTGCCTCGTCCCGCCACTCGGTCAGCCAACGAACGAAGAGCGGGTTGGGGCAAACAGGCAGCGGACGCTTCCGGCCCAAGCGGACCGGCTCCGCCATAAGATCTACACTGGCTCTTTCGGCGTCTGAAACCCCCCCTGAGACTGGGATCTCGACAGTTCAGTTGGTATAAGAACACTTGTTTGAGGGTAGGACCTCTCCAGCCTAGCAGGGCACTAGCTCAAGGAATGACCTCCCTTTCCCTTGTACTATGCAGAAAGAGGACAGTCCGGTATGCACCACCTTCCCTTTAGAACCGCCCCCATTCGCCGTCAGCACCAGCCTTTTGGACAGGCCCCACCCAGGCCACCAAGCTTTGACCCACCCTTCCTCTCACCCAAAAATTCGAGAGCAGACTCGGCTTTTTTGTGTTGACTGTTAAAAGGGCAGACAGCGCCCCCTGTGACTGGGAGGTCTGGTTGAGGGAGGCACTCAGAAACCTGAACTTGGCTTGCTTCAAGGTCTCAGAAGGCTATTTCAGGCTCACTATCGTAGAAGAGGCTGGAAAAAGAGGGCTTGAGAAAAGTGGAGGAGAGGGACACAAGTCCAAGAATATTTGTGAGACATCTATGAAGGGGTGCAAAGGATGAAATAAAGGTAAGGTAGGAGAAGCAGAAAGTTCTCGAAATGTGCCAAGTCGGGGATTTGCACAGAAGGCTCAGGCTAGGTAAATGGCGAGGGTGTGTAGTTCAGGAGGAATAAAAGGTGTATCCTGGCAGGTGGGGAGTTCGAACGTGGGCACATGGTAGGGTCCTGGGGAAGCTAGTAGAAACTTCGCTTTTGTGGCTCATTAAAAGCGACGAGTCTCAGGGAGGATGAAGGTGAGAACCTTGCTGGGGGACGGATGTCTCAGGCTGAGGGGCACAAGGCTCAATAGAGCATAGTGGTCCCTTTAGGTTTCGGAACAACGCACGATCTTTAGCTAGCATGCCGGAAGTCGCCGGGAGCCCAATCCGCAGACCCTCTTCTCAGTCTAGTTTTCCGCACCCGCCTCCTTCTTTAAGCAGCCTTATAAGGAGCCTGGAGCTGGTGCTTGGACTGGGCACGCCCTCTGGAGGCTTATGCCCTAATAAGGACATCTAGGGCATCCCGCGGCCGGGGGCGGAAGGAGCGCGTCTCCAGGGTAACTGCGTAGCCCCTCCCCCCCGTTGCTCTGGGAAACTGCGAGTCTCGAAAAAGGTGGAGCTAGCCTTCTCTTTAGGAGGGGCACTTGGGAGAGGAGGGGGGTCAAGCTTCGGCCTCCACCTGGAGCTCCAGCAGCGTAGCCCAAGAGTGCAGCAGAAAGCCTCTGACTACAACCCCCGGCATCCTCTGCGTGTTGCCTTGCTCCTGGGGAAGCTCCTCATTTACACCCTTTATTCCGCTTGGGGAGTTCAGGGGCCCCAGTTTCGTTTGCCTCTGACTTGTTTGCGACCTTGCCCTCTTTTTTTCTGCAGAGTGTGAGAACTCTTCCCGGAGTTCCCACTCCAGTTTATTTTAAACTCTTGTTTTCATAGAGATTCTCTTCAGTCTTCGTGTTAAAATAATCATAAACCTATCAACTCGGGAACTATGTTGAAGTATTCCTTTTCTTGTATCTCGGTAGAAGAAATATAAAGAAAAATTTATATTAATGCACAACTCTTCACCCTTCCCCCATGAATTACGTTTGATCTAAGAATTTGCCAAACGCCTTTAGATAAAGCTTAAGCTCTCAAACTTTTTATTGTAGCATTTCCCGTTTAAAAAAAAATCCTATTTGTTGAAATTTCACTCCACGGGAGCATGTCTATTGACTTGAAGACACCGTTATACTTGCGATTCTCTTTTCTTTGGGAGAGGATCCCAAGCGGATGATTCAAAATCTTGGTTTTCAGGAACCATGAAGAACAAAAAAACTTCACTTTTGGGATAAAGAGAGACTAAGTGAGACTTATTTTCAGGTCATTTTTATCAAGAGATGGGCCTCTTGCTCAGACCGTTTTCTGGTCCCTTTTACCAATGGGCTCACTCTCCGTGTAACAGCCCTAACAGCCCACGCCTCTCGGCCTTCGCCTACTCTGCGCCTCAAGCTCTGCGGAACCCGGTAGCAGCTAGTTCTAGTTCGGTGCAAAATCCTCGGACTTCACTTCCCGTCGGCCCGCGCGGCAAGCGCCGGAAGGCCGCCCCGCCCCTCATTGTGCGGCTCCTACTAAACGGAAGGGGCCGGGAGAGGCCGCGTTCAGTCGGATCCCGGCAGCAGCTGCGGCGGCTCAAGTCTTCAGTAGCTCTTTCTGTCTCCCTTTCGTTTCCGGAAACATGGTGAGCAGTAGGCCACTGCGCCCGAGGGAAGAGGTTTCGTGATCCGTCGCTTGCGCGCTGGGCGGGGTGGGGGCGGCAGAGAAGCGTTCTTAGTATCCCATCCCCCAGCACCCCGAGCGAGATTAAGGGTCTCATTGAAGGGCAGGCCGCGCGTGCGCGCCTATGGGCGCTGGGAAGGGCCGATTCGGACGTCGCTCGCGCGCCCCCTGGCTCCTCTCCCCTCCCCCATCCTGCTTTTGCGCCAGCGCGGACACTGCCCGTGGGGGAGGGGTCCAATGTGCGGAGCCTCGGGCAACGCTCGCTGGTTCTCGATGGCGCGCGCTGGACCAAAGCACGCGGCATCCAAACCCTGCCCCGGGGCCGCTAGGGAAAAGCGCGCGAGGTCTCGGCGTGCGCCCCACCCAAGGGCTGTTCCCTTCCCCGCATCATCCTCCCTCTGCAGATAGGCTCGTCTCCACAGCAGGTGGCAGGAATTCCGCCGTCTGGGAGGGGCGGGGGCGGCGGCACGGCTCTGAGAGATGCTGAGGCATCAGGCAACCTGATTTGAGACGCTGGCTCCTGAGGCTCCTTGCATCACGAGTCATGGAGTGGGTCCTATTCAGGCTATCGCCCCACTTCTAGAAAGAGCGATTACACACTGCCTTCTCTATTCACTGTACTTCGGGCTAGTGCTAGAACAGCGCGTGCGCACGTGCTTGGGCCCTGCTATTCCGGCCGCAGCTCTAGTCTAGCTAGGCCTTTTGCTGCTGTGCCGGATGGGGCTGAGGGTGGAGCCGCGTTTAGGGAAGTGACCGAGGCGGGTACCGCCCTGAAGCCACCCAACTCTTATGTTTAGCCTGAGGGCATGGAAAACAGTTGCTTGGAGTGACTCGTCCAAGCTATCTTTCAAGCTGACTGGGCTCACGCCTATTCCTAAAGGTGATTCCTAGGCGTTGAGATTTCTGAGGTTCTGCAGCCTCACTGCCTCTGGGATACGAGTGTCTCTTGGGGAGGCCCTGAACGTAGCCCAGTCTTTCTCCGCCTACTCCGGAAGCGGGCGAATCACGTGGCTAGCTTCCTCTGCAGTTCCATGGTGGTGGTGGTGGGGGGGGGTTGGTTGTAGATTTCTTATTGGGTCGTCTCCCAGGGCCGTACAAAGCAGAAAGTTTTCGACAATTTGGGGCACTACAGTTTGACCTATTAATTTGTCAGTGATTTTTTTTTTTAAGGACTCTCACCACTCTTGGATGACAGGGAGTTGTCTAGCAAGGTCTTAATTAAGGGTTGTAATTCTTGTGTTTGGGAGATCTCGACGGGGAAGAGTGTCTCGTTTATACAGTGACTGCATTTGAAGGCTCTAAAGGCTTAATGAACGGTTGAGCAGCTGTTGGTGTCTTTGTGAATTTCTGATGTTCCTGATGTTCTGATTCTCTGTCTTTGTGAATTTCTGATGTTCTGGTTCTTTTTCCTGGAGATGAGACTGTGGCCCAGGAGTTTGGTCTTTTTGTATCTATCCTAAGTCGGCTTTTTAATCAATAACTTTCAGGTTCTTTGAATCCGCTGTTCTCAACTCGGCAAAGGTTTTTGTTTTCTTTGGGGGCTTTTTTTTTTTTTTTTGGAGATTTCTCTGGGTTGCCCCTGCTGTCCTGGAACCTATTCTATAGATCAGACTGGCTTCAAACTCAGAGAATGTCGTGTTCTACCACTCTTGGCTAGGTTTTCTTTTTAACAAGTACTGTTTCTAACATTTAGGGGATGTTGAAGTAGATAATTGGATATCTCCCTTGCAGGAGGTTTGTCCCAACTAGTTCTTAGCTGATGAGTTAGATAGAAAGAGCATTGTCTTTCGTCTGCAGGGACATTGCTAATTTGTGTGGGGCTGAGAAGTATACATTTTGCTATCCTGACTGAGGTTTCCTGTAACTGGAAAGAATACCCAGAATCCTTTCCTTTACAAGGAATATTATTTGGCTTGTCCCTCAGGCCTCTGGTGTGGCTGTCTCTGATGGTGTCATCAAGGTGTTCAATGACATGAAAGTTCGCAAATCTTCAACACCAGAAGAAGTGAAGAAACGCAAGAAGGCAGTGCTCTTTTGCCTGAGTGAGGACAAGAAGAACATCATCCTGGAGGAGGGCAAGGAGATCCTAGTAGGAGATGTGGGGCAGACCGTGGATGACCCCTATACCACGTTTGTCAAGATGCTGCCAGATAAGGACTGCCGCTACGCTCTCTATGATGCAACCTATGAGACCAAGGAGAGCAAGAAGGAGGACCTGGTGTTCATCTTCTGGTGAGCTCCTTACCTCCTTATTCAGGCTCTTCTGCCTGCTTCCTGTTCCCTTTCTCAGAGCTTAGCCCAAAGCATCCCAAGTATGGGGGATTCAGAGTTGTAACAAAACCCTCCTGGTGAGGAGCCAGGCGTGGTGGTGGTGGTGGTGGTGGTGGTGGTGGTGGTGGTGGTGGTGGTGGTACCCATGCCGTTAATCCCAGCTTGAGGGAGGCAGAGGCAGGCAGATGCCTGTGAATTTGAGAGGCTAGCCTGGTCTGTAGAAAGACCCCGTTTCAAAAACATTGACTACAAATGCAGTGAGGAACTTGGGAAAAGAAAATCCTCACTGTTACAGTATCCTAAAGGTTTCTTTTCTTAAGTCATCTCTTCCCTGGAGGTAGCTGCAGCCTTTTCCTTGCTTTGTCTTCAGGGCTCCCGAGAATGCACCCCTTAAGAGTAAAATGATCTATGCCAGCTCCAAGGATGCCATCAAGAAGAAGCTGACAGGTAAGCGTCCCTTCTTTGTATGCACTTTGTTGAGAGTCATGGCTGCAGTTTGGATAGGCGGCACTAATGGAGGTCCTCTATTCTGCTGCCGGCTACAGTGCCTTCCTCCTTTCCTCTGCTCTCATGGCTCCTTCCCAGATACACAGTCTCTCTGCCCCAGTGCTTCCTGCTCACTGCTCTCCGTTTTCATCCTATAGGTATCAAGCATGAATTACAAGCTAACTGCTACGAGGAAGTCAAGGACCGCTGCACCCTGGCAGAGAAACTAGGTGGCAGTGCCGTCATTTCCCTGGAGGGCAAGCCTTTGTGAGCCACCTCCAGCCCCCTGCCTGGAGCATCTAGCAGCCCCAGACCTGCTCTTGGGTGTTGCAGGCTGCCCCTTTCCTGCCAGACCGGAGGGGCTGGGGGGATCCCAGCAGGGGGAGGGCTATCCCTTCACCCCAGTTGCCAAACATCCCTCCCACCCCCTGGACCGTCCTTCTCTCTCCATCCCTGACGGTTCTGGCCTTCCCAAACTGCTTTTGATCTTCTGATTCCTCTTGGGTTGAAGCAGACCAAGTCCTGTCCTAGGCACCCAGTTTGGGGGGAGCCTTTTTTTTTTTTTTTAACGACACCCCTACTCCTCATCCCTCCCCATCCCATGCTGCCAACTTCTAACCACAATAGTGACTTTGTGCTTGTCTGTTTAGTTCTGTGTGTAAATGAAATGTGGAAATGACCCTCCCTGCACCAGCTGGTTGCCCTCCCCTTTCCCTTGATCTTGGCCACTCATGGAAGCAGGACCAGTAAGGGACCTTCAATTTTAAGGAAAAAAAAAAAACAATAAAAAGGCTAATTAACAATGTGGCTTTTGGGCTTGGAATCTTGGAGACCCTGTGATGGGAAATGGATCAGTGGTTTTCCTGTGCTGTGCCCCTAGCTCAGCCCCTAGCAAATGCATCTCCTTTTTGAGGTGTGGTGCCACAGTTAGTGCCAAGGTAGTTGAGTAGGGCAATTGGGCTCAGAGTGTGTCACACCTGAAACTTCTTGTTAATGGACCTTTATAGTGGACAGTGAGGTTCCTGGAGCCTCTTTCTACCTATGGGCTAAGTACAGTTCACTCAGGTGACTTACTGCTTTTTAAGGTTCTCTTAGCTCTCTCCCTCTCTTCCTCTGGGGTGCTTGACTCACCCCACTGCCAGGTTCAGTGGTGCCATGAACACCTAAGTTGAGCCTTTGGCCTCCTGTACTTGTGATTGGAGTCCATTTAAGGTGGGTCAGAAGGTGGAGTCCAGGACTTCAGACCCAGGTGTCTGGAGCCCCACCTACTGTTACCCCAAGCTAAAGCCTTTTGCTTTAATTTCTGTGGATTCTGGCCTGTGGCCTAGGGCAGGTGAGCTGGTTTCCTTACCTGGCTTCAAGTCTGGGAAGGTTGCAGGAAGGAGCTGTTCCTGATAGCAAGGGTGGAGGGAATTTGTTCTTTTTTTGTTGTTTTTGAAACAGTTTCTCTATAGATGAAGCTGTGCTTGAACTCAGATCAGCCTGTCTCTGCCTCCTGAGTGTTCATTACTACTGCCTGGCTTTCTTAGAGGTTTTATGTTACATGTTGCTTTGATTTCTAACAAAGACCCATTAAGGCTGGCCCATTCTGTTTGGTATAAGAGAAGACAGACACAGGAAGAACATTGTTTTCCTGTGGTGCTGGGCATTGAACCCAAGGCCTTATGTAGGGTAGGCAAGCAGCTGGCCTCTGCGCTACAGCAACAGAGTAAAAGAACTAAGGATGATGCAAATCCCAGAAACAGATCTATTGCCATTTAATAAAAAGTGAGGGGTTGTGTGGTCTCCATCTTGTAGAAAGTAAAGGCAAGCAGACTCTTGGCAATAAAACAGCTGTTTATTTGTGAGGAGCAGGTGGGGATGCCACTGAATTCTTCAAAAGCCAGTGACGGTGGAGGTTTGACTCAGCCTACTGTGGGGAGGACTAGGGCCCCTAGGAACTCTGCTTACCTGTGGCCCCTATGCTGCCCTGTCAGGCAGGGCCAACTGCCTTTGGGCCTGGGTTTGCCCAAGGAAGAGTAAAGGTGTGGCTAGTGGCCACCATGGTAGGGAACGGGGGCATCTTTATAGGGAGAAGGCTGGAGATTTGAGGACAGGTGTCATTGAAGAGGAGCATCTGGTTTCACTAAAGCTCTCCCTTAAGGGCAACAAGGGTGTTCTGGAGAAGCAGGGTGCTGGCCTGCAGGAGAAAATACCTCAGTTCCCTGAGGGCCAGTACTGTTGTCTACATTCCTTAGTCTTCAGGCTCCCCTCCTACCACCCAAGGAAGAGAAGGGAAAAGCACTGGCCTCAGGAGAGGAGGGGCATTACCTTGACCCCAGGCCTGGCTGTACACTACTTCACCCTCATATCTTGGGGGGGAAAAAGGTGGGAACAGCAGAAGAGCTCCTAGAGGAGCAGGCAGTGAGCACTCACCTTGGCGTGTTTGAGTTCCAGCTCTGCCAACTCAATGAGATTCTTACGGAAAGACGAGACCCGGCGAGCCTTGAAGTCTAAGAGCTCTGGGGAGAAGAGGGAAAAGGAGTAAGGGCAGGCAGGGGTGGGTGTTTACTGTGGGGTGATGCCAGCTTTCAAGGCTCACCCTGTTTGGCGGAGTCAGAGAGGCGCTCGAAGCGCTGGCAGCACAGCTGTTGGTGGCTCTCTGCTGGCTGCACTTCCCGATTCCTAGTTCGAGCTCTGTCCAGCGCCTTGTTAGCATTCTCATAGTCGGCCAGTGCCCGAAGCCGCCGGTACAACAAGTCCTAAGGCCATCATCAGTGCAAGATGACTTGTCATGGGTTTTGCTGCTGGCCCTCCATATGGCCTTCATCCCTGAGAGTACCCAGGGCCACCTCTCACCTTGGCTGCCTGTGAGTCTCGCATGTAGTATCTCAGCATGTCAGACAGCTTCAGGTCCTCATCAGAGGCTACCCGGCCTTCCAGCTTCTGTATCAGGAAGGTGAGACTGGGAAGGGGGCTTGAGAAAGGGAACCTAAAGGGCTGGCAGTCTCTGTACACACCCAGATGTGGATTTCTTGATAATTATTACACATCAGGCTCTGAGTTCCAAAAGGCAGGCCAGGGAAGTGGATGCATGTGTGCAAGCCTAGTGAGCCGTATGTTCAGTAGGGTGCCTAGACTAGATCACAAAAGGCCTAATGGGCAAGCTAGGGGCTTTGTGTTTTGGTAGGTTCTGGAGTGGACAAGGCTCCTGCAGGCCCCTGAGCACACATTTCTTAAGAGATTGGCATACTCCATAGACTTCTTTTGGGAAGAGTTTGGGTGGGATGTATGCATCTCCACAGAATGTTGGTGGCTCAGGACAGGACACCAGAGGTGTGTGGCATACCCCCGTGCCTTGCTCCAACTCCCACCTCTCACCCGTCTCATACACTCACTTAGAATGGCATGCCTTTTGCATGTCTTCATTCTACGTCTTTGTAAACCAGTCTAGAGTGGGAGCCACCAAGCACACCTATAACAGCTCTCTATAGAAGACCCTGAGTGCAGAAGGCAGTACTTACTCTCAGTCGTTCAAAGAGGTCTGCCAGTTTCAGGAAGCTCCTAGAATGTGGAGGGCAGGGATCTGGGGCAGCTCAAGGCCTCCCCTCAAACCCTCCTTGGAATCTTTTCTCCCCTAACCTTCAGGAGCTTCTGCACACCACCACCACCCACCCCCCCAAAAGAACAAACAAACAAAAACCTGGGTTTCTTTTTTTTTTTTTTGAGACAGGGTTTCTCTGTGTAGCCCTGGCTGTCCTGAAACTCACTCTAGACCAGGCTGGCCTTGAACTCAGAAATCTGCCTGTCTCTGCCTCTCAAGTGCTGGGATTAAAGTCGTGCACCACCACTGCCCAGCTAACCTGGATTTCTATAGAGTGCACACCCCTTGTGTGTACACAGAGCATGGAATGTGAATTCTCACCTCTTTAGTTGGTTGACCTCCTGGGTTCCAAGACTGCTCAGTGCAGCAGAGATAGGGATATAGTTGTCTGCCAGGCCTGCTGGAGAGCAACCTCAATTAGAGCCCCTAAATCTACACGCCATGCCCCACCCATGGTGTGAACCCTCAACCCTCGTACACTTGTGGGCGTGCATAACACGGTCGGCCCTCTGGCAGGTGTCTCGGATTCGGGTGTGGTATTCTACTAGGAAGGTCCTCTCATGCTCAAAGAAGTCATCTACCTCCTAAGGGTTGGAAACAGAACACTTTATCCAGGTACTAGGAGCGTGGTAGTACCAGCACCCAGGGTGTCCCTGTTTCTTGGCAGCCCACTCCATTAATGGCGCTCCTCCCACAGCCAAAGGGTCACCTTGAGCCCTGATATGCCGGTGATGAGGACTTCATCTGCAGACCTGACGATGCTCCTCAGGAACCCTCCCAAGACCTCCTTCCTGTTCTTCTCTCGGACACTCAGCTAAGCACACGGGGGAGGGGGAGGTGCTCAGGTGGGGCACTTGTACCTTCTACACCAGAAGCAAACTGGTGATATTATCAGGCCTGATTCCCTCACCCCGTCTCAGATCACACCATGCTCAACCAGCTTACATCCTGACTATACTCCAAGAAGACAGAGAAGTTGTGATCCCGACGCAGGGTGGGATGGGCTGCCAGGCGCTGCAGGAAGACTTCATGCATTGCAACAGTCTTCTTAAAAATGGCCAAGTACTCCCTGTAGGAGAATGGACAGCTTGACTTCCACACTGGGCTCCATCAGGATAATTTCCCCCTCAAAAGACCTGGGGCCAAAGGTCAAGGTCTCAGGACATCTATCATAGTTGGGAAAGAAACATACTCACGCTTCTAGCTCTTGCTTCATCTTGGCAAATTCTTCCCGGGTGATAGAGCTGCTGCCCTCACCCAACTTCTGCAGCTTCTCCCTTGAAGCCTCAAAGTCTGGCCTGGGAGGGGCTGGGGGAATCTGCTCAAAGGAGGAATGAATTGCCAAGGGGCCATCACAGCCTTCTGTCCTCACCCATGTTCTCCCGACCTCCCACCCAGTCCAGCCCCTCCTCACGATGAGGCCGGCATACTCTTCATTTTCCACATAGGTGTCATGTAGCCAGACAAACTCTTCGTGCTGCCGAACCACTGAGAACTCAGGCTGGGCAAAATGAGAGAGGCCACTCTGGAAGCCCAGAGACCTGTGTGAGATCCCATCTTTCCCAAACCTGCCTTCACCAAACCTGCTAAGCACCCACTTTTGGCATTCCCATCCTGAACCCCATTTGAGACCTGTTTACTCAGGCAATCAGCACTCAGGGGATGCTTTCTAAGGGGATAAAAGTTGCGCTGGCTCTGCTTCCCACCCCAGGCCAGCTGTCTACCTCCTGACCAACAAGCCACCTTACCTTGGTTTGAACAGTGAACTTCACCTTGTCCCGCTCACTCACGGCATCAGAAATCTCCACCTGTAAGGGACTGTCCCCCTGCAGATCCACTGACACGGAGGAAGACTGTGGAGCAGAAAGGGCAAGCTAGTTGGCTGAAACCATTTTGTTTTGCCCCCCTCTGGAGATCCTGCTCAGAGTGTACCATTACTAACCAAAGCATTCCCCCAGTTCCCGTCCTCAGAGACAGGCAGAGTGCCTCCACAGTCCCTACTTCTGTCATGCATGAGAGCTGCTTCATTATAAGACCCTCATGGGTTTAAAATGTTGTAAGCCTAGCTTGACGTCTCATGCCTATAGTTACAGCGTCTAGGGAGCTGAAGCAGGAGGACTGGAGGATTGCTGTAAGGGCAGGCTGGGGTTAAATATAATAATGAATTCTGGTCTAGACTGGGCTACAGAGTAAGATCCTGTCCCAAGCAAAAGTAGGTAGAGCTGTAGGTAAGAGGACTAAGAGTTCAAGGCTAGCAGATGTCTGACAGTTTTTCTAGTAGAGGCGTTACAGGAAGGGATGGCAGTAGCATATGGGTTTTTAACTTTTGATACCCATTGAGCAATATTTTATGCTTTTATCAGGGAATTTTTTTTTCAAACAGCATCTTACTATGTAGGTCTGACTGGCCTGGAACTTGCTAGGCTGCTTTCTGTCCTAGTAGTCCTGCCTTGGCCTTTGTATCAGGATTACAGGCAATGAGCCACTGTACCATATTATATTATTATTGTTATTACTATTACTATCATCATCATCATATTTCCTGTAGTGCTGGGCATGGATTCATGCCTGATATTTGCAAAGCAAATGTTCTGCCATTGAGCTAAACCTCAGCCCTAGTTTGTTTATGAGAGTGTCTCTGTATAGCCCCTTGGCTGTCTGGATCTCCCTCCCTCCCTCCCTCCCTCCCTCCCTCCCTCCCTCTCTCATCCAGGCTGGCTTCAAAGTCAAAGAGATCTGCCTCCCTCTGCCTGACCCAGTGCTGGGACTAAAAGTGTGTGCACTACTACACCCAGCTCTACTTATTTTTATGTTATTACAATACCTTGCTGTGGTCTGAATATGCTTGGCCCAGGGAGTGGCACTATTAGGAGTGCCAAAGCCTTGTTGGAATAGGTGTGGCCTTGTTGGAGGAAGTGTGTCACTGTGGGAGTGGGTTTTAAGACCCTACTCCTAGCTGCTTGGAAAACAATAGTCTGTTCCTGGCTTTCTTTGGATGAAGATAGACAACTTTCAGCTCCTCCTGCACCATGCCTGCCTGGGGACTGCCATGCTCCCACTTTGATGATACTGGACTGAATCTCTGAACCTGTAAGCCAGCCCCAATTAAATGCTTTCCTTTATTAGAGTTGCCTTGGTCATGGTGTCTCTTCACAGCAGTGGTAACCCTAAGACACTTGCTAAATTTGCCTTTAGTTTTTAGATTCTTTTAGGTTTACTACTTCTATAATCCTGTAACTTAAGTTTTACTCTTTCTTTCCAGCCTTTATGTCTTTGTTTCCTGCTTCTGACTTGCTGGCCCTCTATGAATGCATAAGTGACAGACACAGCGATAAAGGAAACCCTTGGCTGTTTATGATCATAGACAATGACTTTCCAGCCGGGTGGCAATGCAAACCATCATTCGGGAGGTGCAGGCAGGAAGATCAAGACTTCAAGCTCGTAATTACTTCAAGAGATTGTAGGCAGAGTTCAAAGCCAAATTTGACTATTATTGTCAGTTAAAGTCTAGTTTGACCCATATGATACTGTCTCACTAAGAGAAAAGAGATCTGGAGGGTTGGTGAGACAGCTCAGCTGGTAATGTCACCTGTCACCAAGCAGCATGACTCAACGGTGACTTCCAGGACTTATATGGTAGAAGTTGAGAATTGAGTCCCTCCAATTTTCCTCTGACCTCCACATATCTGCCTTGGGACAGTCACCCCTACATTTTAAAACAGTGTAACTAAGAGGAAAAGAGGGGCTGAAGAGATGGGTCAGTGGTCACAAGCACTAACTGTCTTGGGATCAGTTCTCAGCATCCATGTACTTACAACCAGCTGTAACTCCAATTTTTAGGATCTGATACCCTCTTCTGACCTGAGGGCACCGAACAGGCACATGACACACATAGATACACAAAAGCAAAATACTCAAACACACAGAATAAAATAACAACAACAAAAAATTTAAAGAAAAAATGCTTTTAAAATTTAATGCTGGGGCCCAACAAGAAGGCTCAGCAGTTACAGCATTTGTTTTGAAAGCTTAATGGAGCCCGGGCGGTAGTGGTACACGCCTTTAATTCCAGCACTTAGGAGGCAGAGGCAGGCAGATTTCTGAGTTTGAGGCCAGCCTGGTCTACAGAGTGAGTTCCAGGACAGCCAGGGCTACACAGAGAAACCCTGTCTCGAAAAACCAAACCAAACCAAACAAAAAAGCTTAACGGAACTACGTAAAGGGGGAAGGAACAATAACTCTACAAAGTTGTCCTCTGACCATGCTCCATGTCCACTCACATGCACATGCACACACACAAACACGCTCACATACACACACACTCCCACACATACTCAAACTCACACACTCTCACACACACACAGAACAAATTTTTAAAAAACAAAGTTCAAACAGGTGTTTTTACATGTCTTTTATCACATTAATGAAGCCCCTTAGATGGCTGCTGATTTTTTATCAAGTTTCTCTCCTTTTCTCAGGATAATTACGTGGATTTTTCTGTTATTCTGCTTTAGACTTTTTATTTAGAGGTTCATGAGATGACTCAGCAGTTAAGAGAAGGTCTCTTCCAGAGATTGGGGATTCAATCCCACAGGTTACCACCATCTGGAACTCTAGCCCATGAGATCCTATGTCTTTTGCACGAAACATGAACACTGTACAGACATATTTGCAGACAAAGCACCCACAGACATAAAATTAAAAATAAGGAAAATTGGGGTTCCAGCATCTAACAACTGACTGTAACTCCAGTTCCAGGAGACCCAAAACCTTCTTCTGGCCATCTGAAGGTACCTACACCCATATGCATATACCCACACACAGATACAGAATTTAAAAATTAAATATTTAAAATAAAATCGTTTATTATGTGGTTTTGTGAGACAGGGTATTGCCATGTAGCCCAGGCTGGCCCAAAGATACACCTCAGGCTAGCTTCCATCCTTAATTAATTTTCCAACTTCTGCTTCCAGAGTGCTGGGATTACAGTTATGCCATTACCAGGCCTGACTTTTTGCAGCACTCAGGAGCAGGAGGATAAGAAGTTTGAGATAAGCCTGGGTTACATGAGACTCTTGTTTAAAAATAACTAAAAACTCCTGCAGTGGTGGTGCACACCTTTATTCCCAGCACTGGGGAAGTAGAGGCAAGCAGATCTCTGTTTATTCAAGGTCAGCCTGGTCTATAGAGTAAGTTCCAGGATGCAGAGAAACCCACAACTAAAGACAAAAAAAACAAAACAAATATCAGCAGATGACATGACTCAGTGGGGAGGGGCGCTTGCCACCAAGCCTGATCCGATTCTCACCTCAAACACAGTGGAAGATGAAACTACCTGGCGTCAATTGTCGTCTGACCGCTACATGTACCTGAGACACGTGCACTTACATACGTCATGCACACATGACATTTCCAAATACAAATATAACACAATTCTTTTACTTTTGTTTTTACTCATTTATTTATTTTCCAGACAGGGTTTCTCTGTGTAGCCCAGGCAGTCCTGGAACTCACTCTGGAGACCAGGCTGGCCTTGAACACAGATTTACCTGCCACCTGACCCAGTACAGTTATTATAGAATATCACAATTCTAAAAGAAAAAATAAACTGCAACACATCTTAAAGGTAATACATTTTAATTGTTGTGGAAATATGCTCCTTCTGCCCCCATGTTCCGATTCTTTCAGCTTACGCCTGAGAATCCCAGACATTCACTTCAAGAGGTCGGAGCTGGGTCGCTTGGCTCAGGTCTGACCCTCCGCTGCTCATCTGCCAAAGCTTCGAAATACTGAGTGGGCCAGTCCTTGGGATCTTGTTTGTGGATTTTGGCTACAAACTTAAGGACTTTCATTTTGCTGGTTTCCAGATTTGCTCGTGGACCCCACTGGAGTTCACAGTCCACAGGATCTGTGTGGGGTATCCGCCGGGACTCTAGGTAACGCTGTCTCACGAAGTCTTCAGTAATGAGTTTCTTTGGATCCCCGAAAACTGAATGCTTCTTGGTGGGATACACCCCCAAACGACCTAGAAAATCCCAGACATCGTTTTCTGGGATGCTGTGGCCATTCATAAAGATAAGCCCTAAAATAATCATCAGGAGGCCGGAGGTGGGCGTTCCCTGATAGCCTCTCAATTCACCATCCTCATCCACTGGCTCCAGGGCGTTGACCAGGATGTAGGAGTTGCTCTTGGGTCTGAGCTCCACCAGTTTGTACCCAAACACATAGTGGAGCTGTTCTGCAGCCAGCTTAAGCAGGTCTGGGAAGATATTCTTGTAGTCTCGGACGACATGCTTCAGGATGCCCGACCGCTTGATGGGAATCTTCCTCTGGTCCTTAATCAGCAAGAACTGCACCAGTTCTGCCACTTTAAGCTCCAGCTGCTTCTGGGTCCGGAGCTCCGTGATGGAGGTGGCCTGGGCCTGACGAGAGCTCGGCAACCGGGCGCCTGGGGGGTCCTGGGAGGCATCGGGGCGTCCAGATGACCTCAGGATCTCTTCAGAGACACCCAGACAGCAGTTGCTGCCGCTCCCTAGCTGGGTACCAAGGTGGCTCTTGCTCCTCGTTTTTTGCAACATGTGACCAGGTGAAGAGCCTCTCCTATAACCGGCCACACCGGACAACGAGGGGTCATCTCGCGCGCAGGGAGGGGAGCGAGGGTAGAGGTTGGAGGGGCGGTCGCGGAGACAAATCATGCTTCCTAGTTGGATTTGTGCTGAATCTTATTGGCTAGTTTCACATGCCTAGCACCTTATATCCCGGAAGATTGTCTTGCAATCTTCCATCCTGACAGAACTACCATCCTGGCATATTATTTTACTAATTTAACTTGATCATATTTTACAGTGTATGG